GGAAGATTGCATTCTGTATCATAACATAGATGGTCAATGTAGGTGGTAGCTGTGCGACCAACCCGTCTTGCTCCCTGGCTAAAGATCCAGAGCAGTCGATCACTTCGCAAGTTCTCGTTTTGCTCGCCCGAATTGTCCTTCAAAGTGTATTCTGCGCTCGCTTAAGATTATACAAACGTCAGAGATGGGTTCATAGAGCTGTGATTTAGCTGGATGTTGTCTCCAAAAGATGCTAAATATCGTTCTCATTATCTGAGTGTAGGTTCCATCAATCTTAAACTCTAGTGTTTTAGTTATATCCAAGCAGAGGCACCATAGATTAAAACCGCCTCTACAGTGGCGTGAAAGTATCGCCGTTTGAGATTGTCTTTCAGATCAGAATTCCAGACTACATCCATTTTATACAATGTAGGTCAGGGTTTAGCTATACGAATTTTCACATCTTTTTCAGTAGAATTAACAATATGGTTGAACTATAAAGTTGAACCATATGGGGTTCAGCCATATTTCTGAAATGAAACGTGGACGCAGAAAAAGAAAGAACCATCTGGTTCAACACCCCACTTCTGCAAACAGTCAACTATTAACATCGGACAGTATTTTCCAAATTTAATCAATAAGCACCTCCAAAATATAACTCTCTAAGATTTTCAATAGGAAAACGATTAAGATTAGCTACGCTTGTACCAACGACAATTATAAAATTATTGACTCACACAACAACCAAATTTTAAGGAATTTCTATGGGACCGACAAGAAACCTAGCATTGAAACCTCTTGTAGTTGAACATCAAAAGATAATTCTCCAGTAGAGGGCAAATGTAAAGTTACCAGGGTTATATATCAAGCGACCATTTCTTCCAAATAAAACATGAAAAATAAAAAAAAAGTTTACATTGCAATTTCTGAGGGGGGGTGAAAACAAAGATTCTATACAGATAAGCACTTATTTTCTAACCCTAAACTTAAACATCAAACAGCTCTTTAAAAAAAAAATTGACGGACGAAAATTTAAACCCACAGATATTTTGGAAAAATTTAGGCTCTGCGAAAATAGATTCAGAAATGCACGTGATTTATTCTTAGAAGAAAAAATAAAATAATAAGATACAATATTAAAAGCCAACTATAGAATCAGAGAAAGAAATTAGTGTTCAAATGTCGACATAAAAACAAATTCAAATTTCCCTTAAATAGCTACCAAAAATCACTCCCTGACTCCCAGCCTCTCTAACTCTTCAAATGTCGACATATAAAAAATATAAAATTAAAACAAATTTAAAAAAAAATGAAAAGGCAAAATACTAACTCTAATTCCCATGGTGCAATTTTACCTTTTTAGCTACCCTAAGTTACTACCTTCCTCTAAAACCTTTTATACTATATTGCCTATAATTTATAAACTTTCCTCTACTTAGAATATCTTTCTAACTCTCCTCCCGTTAATCCACTATGTCTCTTTATCTTCATATATCTTTTAATTTTATTTTTGGGTTCATTCTTAATTTCTTCTTTAATTTTAGATTTGTTAAAAATTTGTGTTTACTTCTAATATCCCCATTTGGTCGTCATAAAGTTAATATTCTAGGGTTCTTCAATAAAGTTTCTCTCCTTTAAGATAGATACCTGCCACCCTCCTTAAAAACTGCCTCGTGCCTAGCGTCCAATAGAAACAGTGAAATGTGTAAACTCTGTAGTAGTTGTTTTTGGCAAGTTGTCCCTTAAGCTTACAATATCGATTCCTCACAGTTAAATGCTACTACCTTTCAATTCCTATAACGTTACAGACATGAACTTCATTCCACACCATTCAAAAACCAAACGACCACTTTCGTCGTCTGCCGAAATAGCCTATTCCCCATATGAAGTAAAATGATTGTTTGATTATTAATTATATTTCTCTTTTTGTGGATTATTTCTAATATTTTTATATAACTAGAATCCACTTAGATTATATGCCAACAGATTTTTTGCCTCATTATTTAAATATGGTGGACTTTGCTGTCGTATTCGACGTATGAGAATCAAGCAGTTCAGTTCCTAGGAATCGACAGCCCAGGCACCAGCACTTATACTTTGATTATAATGGTGAAGGGCCGAATACAGAGACCTCGTGCACTACGTGCCACAAAGTCCCCAAGCAGCCTTCGCAGGTTTTGAATTAAGAGTTATCCTTCTTCTAGACCAGTTGCCATCAAAGGCTATAGAACCCAGTCTGTCCTGCTTTTTACCCATAGCCGAGGAGAGAAGAAGAGGATTCATACCTTTCTTAAGGGTATTAGCACGTAAGTGAATGTAATGGATTCGACTTTAATTCGTACTCGGCTCTCTGATTCCTCAATTCGAGCCGCTATCCACTGCTCCACCGTAGGAAAAAAGAAATTATACAAGCAGCAAGAGCCTTTACGAATATATATTTAGAATAACTTTACTAGTTTTACAGTTTTCATATATATATATATATATATATATATATATATATTGAACAATAAAAAAATATTAAAAAATTAAAATCTTCAGACACACTGGGTTGTAGATTAATATTCTTTCGTTTTTTTTATTATTATTTCATTTAGATTCCTCGACTAGTTTCGGCCAAAATGGCCATCATCAGAAGAAATATTTCTGCTTGCTGGTAGCAGTGAACTACAGAAATGAATGTCTTTTGTTGGAGAAAATGAACTTTTGTCTGTAGTTTTAATTTGTTTTTTTATTTTTTTATCTTTTTAACATGAATCTTTTAACATTCCTTGTGTTGGTCAAACAGTCTTTTTTAAGTTGTTATTTGAGATAAGAACTGGATGGATCTATGCTTCCCTGAATTCCCTTGATCAGTTTGACAGTTTTATTGGTCCTGGAGAGGGGATGTGTCTCTGTTTAGTGTTTGTGTGTGTGTTATTTGGTTCTTAGGGAGTGAGTGAGTATGATATGTATAAGCGTGTGTATTGCTGTGGGTGTGTGTTATCATTTGGCTCATTAGGGAGTGAGTGAGTACGATGTGTGTAAGTGTGTATATTCGTGTGGGTGTGTGTATAAGTGTATAAGTGTGAGGCCTCAATACCTCCGAAAGCATGTCTGTCTTGTGTGGGTGAGAAATGTGGGTAGGTTTTGATTTGTTGAGTTATATATTAGTACTATCTATATTGTTAAATTTATGGTTTTTCTTTAAATAAGGTTGAAATGATTTCAAAAGGACTTTCCCTTTCCTTTCCTTCTTTTTCGATGTTGTTTTGTTTTTTGTTTTTAAAAATTCACTGTTTTCAGAGGTGCGTTGTTCTTTGAAAATTTCTCACCTAGCAAGTATCAAAGTTTTCCCTTTCATCATCAGACACCAAATTGGAATTATATTTATTATATAGTCCAACTTTCCTAAAAAAGCTCAAGATCAAATTGGAGTTTGATTTTTCGAAAAATTCTTTCAGGTTGTTCACGTTGTAAAACAATTTTCGAATATGTGCCATGTCACCGCAATCAAGCAGGAAGTGCTTCACATTATAAACCTCCCGGCATGCTATGCATTCAGGAGGATCTTCGTCTTTTAGGAGGAAGGAGTGAGTTATGTGCGTGTGTCCTATGCGAATACGGGATAAAACCACTTCTTTGCGTGATTTTCTGTGTTCAGTTAGTTGTTTCTTTAGAGAAGGTTTGATTTTAAATAATTTGTTGTTTTGACAGTTGTTCCAAAGCTCTTGCCATTTCTTCAAAATAAAGTCATTTATTAGGGGTTTTAGTCAGTGTATGGAACCTTTATGTTACTTGTGTTAAGTTTCAGAGAGTTTTTTGCAGCCACATCAGCTTTTTCATTTCCATGAAAACCAGAGTGGCTGGGAAGCCAACAGAAAATGATGAGGTTATTTTGTGAGATCGCATGTATTCTATGTCGGAGTTTGATGAGCAAAGGATTGTTTAATTTTTGTTTTTTTAATGATTCGAGTACTGATGAGTCTGCAAAAATAATGAATTTATTTGAGTTAAGTTTAGTGATGAGGTCTAGAGCTAAATCAATGGCTGTAATTTCAGCACTAAAAATTGAGGAGTTGTTAGTGATAGATAGTGTTATGGGGTTCACCCTTTTCGGATATAATGGACTCGTCCTGCTGCCATAAAATAGCCACAGTCAGACAGAGAAGATGAGTCGTACAGGAGTCGTACAAAGAGTAGAAGAAGTGGAGTGTAGAGTGGAGAAACAGGGTGGAAAGTACACAGACCCTGTGATTGAGTTGGAGTTAGAAGTCAGTTACAAGGACACCCGACTCTAAGGAAGTTTACTTCGAGACTGTATATAGTGATCTTTGATTTATACTAACCGTCGTTCCTGAATTTTACTAACAGCATTACCTTTTGTATTTTGTGTAAATACATTTAATTTCTTACCTTAAATACTTGCGTTTGTCATTTATTGGATACCTATTTTTCACGCGGGATCCACAACAGATAGATAGATAGATAGATAGATAGATATGGCGGACTCTCTCGTCGTTTTCGACGTATGAAGGTCAAGCAGGTTAATTCCTACGAACCGACTGCCCGACACCACCACACTTTTTGAAGGGCCGAATAGAGAGACCTGGTACACAAGGTCCACAAACGGCCCTACGCAAGTTTTGAATTCAGAGTTGTCCTTCTCCTACATCAGTTGCCATCCAAGGCTATAGAGCCCAGTCTGCCCTGCTATTTACCCATAGCTGAAGGGAGAAGAAGAGGATTAATACCTTTTCCAAGAGTATTAGCACGTAAGTGAATGTAATGGACTCGACAGGAATTCAAACTAGGAACCGAGATTACTTCTAAACATGAAACCTGGAAAAGATCACGAAGGGAAAAAAAGGAACGTTAAAAATTTCTGCGACGGATATTCACTTCTTTCCTTCGCTTGCACTAATACAACACCACACAGTAATCCTCTACTCAAAGTGGTTCTTGGGCCTTGTATTAGATAAGAATTAGAACTTGTACTTGTTTTAAAAACCATGAATGAAAAATATCTGCAAATATCTTACGTGTATTTTTTCTTTCCTCGTGTACGTCCCCTTTGAGGTGTTCCTTCGTGACTACCATAGACGTGTAGGGTGTAACAAAACCATTCTGAAAATATATGATTAAAATCAAAATTCATAAAACTTATCTAGAATATTTTCAGATTACCCGGTATTACGAACGTTTCCCTAAAGAGTAAATATTATAGAATGCGTAGACTAGACCCAAATAACAAACTACTAGTGAGAACTCTGACGATCTGAAATGAAACTCGTAGGTGTTGAAATCTGGTATTGTTGTTTTGTCTTTTTTTAAATTCTTATACGACCCAAAACGTACGAAGACAATACGGTTGAAAGAATTAAAGAGGGAATAGCCTCCCTAGTCCCAGATACTTTAGTTAAACATATCACCACTTGGCGATGACAAATCACGGGACCATTTTGTTGATAGTCATCATCTTTATCTATCCCTATCACTCATTTTTTTAAAATAATTTCCTCCTAAGCAAGGCGATAAAGCCACTGAGATGCAAATGGTTATTGAGCATGATGGCTTTCTAATTCGAAGGAGTCAAAATTTAGGGAGAATAAACTCCAGTTGCATTCTCAAATTATTTTCCCATATATATATATATATATATATATATATATATATATATATATATATATATATATATATATATATATATATATATATATATAATAAATTAAAGACATTGTTAGATCTAGACTAGAAAAGAGTTGTGAGTTCAATCCCAGGCCACAGCAGTGTTGAACCAAAACATGGAGACATGAGTTAAAGGGAAATAACTATGACATGTGATAAAACTTCTCTAAAATAAAAAAAAATAAAATATTAAACTGTTGTCTAGAAAGACTGTCAAATCTTCTCTACCATATTATTGAAAATTATACTCGTGCATTCCCTTATCAGTACAACACCTGCTCATGGAACGGTAGCAAATGCGTAGCGCTTTCAATCGTAATGAACTTCTATGTTCTCAAGCCATGTTCTTATATGATTTATTCCTTAATTCAGTTCTTTGTTTCCACAGTTTGCTTATAGTGGACATGGGAAGAGCACTAATTAAGATGTGGTCATACTGATAAAGGTATATATCCTACAATAAAACACCGACAACACACTCATCTGATGTTTAATTTTTTTTTTTTTTTCATAGGGCGGAAATCCCGGTAGCGTGACGGTAAGTGATATTTTATACCTCGTGTATAATGCGACCTCCTTAAAATTAGCTTCAAAATTAGGTCTTCAGTAATCGCATAATACGCGAGTATATACGATAGATATCTTTTTCAGCCTGTCAGTCTGTGGAATTATAAGCAGGTGTTGGTTTTCTTTACCTACCCAGACGAGACTCTGGCCGGAGGCATAGCCTCACCCGGGTTTCTCTCTGCCTGAAAGCAGAGAATTTGACAAGTGTGTCACGATTCTGGCAGCGAACTCCCTGACGTGGGTCCAACTTATTTACCCAATGCTTTCCACAAGGCGCGATGTGGCACAAGGCCGGTTATTAAGTGGGGCGATATCGAGTCCGTATTCTCGGTCAAAAATTGCCCTTTGACCCCGCATAAACGGTGTCAGGTTTGTTTATCTTGAATTACTTCAGACGGCAAAAACTAGGTAGCAAAGTCGTAATGAACTCCTATGTTCTCAGTCCATGTTCTTATAGGATTAAATCCTTCTTAATTCAATTCTATGTTTCCACAGTTTCCTTAGAGTGGGCCTGGGAAGAGCATTAATTAAGACGTGGTCATACTGACAAAGGTATATATCCTACAATAAAACACCGACAACACACTCATCTTATGTTTAATGTTGCTTTTTATTCCAGTACAATGACGATAAGTGCTTGATTTAGTCATTTCCTTTTTATTTTTAATTCATCGGATGTTAGGTGGTAACAATGCTCTAAAATGATAGCCTGACGGAGCGGAACCATCTCCAGACAAATTTAACTTTTCTTTCTCCTAGACTAGATGCCAACCAAGTCTTTTATGCTATTTCCCCATAACTTCAGGGAGAAGAGATGAATTCTGTTGTGTATGAAGAATGTGTAACCTTCTTTACAATATTATTAAAAATTGGATTCGTGCATCTACTATGATTGCAACGTCTTTTTTAAAAATTTATTGGGTGTTAGGTGATAAAAAATTCTCTAAAATGAAAAAGTAAAAAACTGTTCTGTAGAAAGACTGTCTAAACTTCTAAACCATATTATAGAAAATTGAACTCGTGCATCGGCTATGTGTAGAACACATGCTCATGGAACGGTTGTTAAAAATGGATGGCAAATGCGTAGCGCTTTCAGTCGTAGGGAACTCCAGTTTTCTCAAACCATGTTCTTAAATGATTTAATACTTTTTAATTCAATACTTTGTTTCCACTTACTAACCAGCGACTATGAGCGTTATACGGACTTTATAACATTCACTTATATTTTAATTGAATCCCACAGATAAAAAAAAAACTACTTACCTCGATTGCTATCACGTGATGCATTTTCTTCAATCAGTTGTTTAAGGGTCACATACGCCCAAGTCTTTTTTGTTATGTTTGGCAGCATTTCAAACATGGTTACATTCGGAAATTTTTGAACTTCCTGCTTATAAGAATATTCCAATCATTGACCATTTTTATATTCCGAGGTTATGCCACTATTTACAACAATAATTCCCCTACTGTGAGAAGTGTTTTAAATTCGTCCAGCAATTTCTATCTCAGAACCGCTGAAGATATTAAATCTTATCGGGGTCCGAAAACTCGGGTCTATTCTAGCATTCAAATAAGTTACCATGAACCCTCGTCCAATATAAATATATCTACTCACCAGTAACCAATTATTGGTACAGGAACCACATTTCCTGTCGCTGTAAGAAGAGTTGTGTATCTTAGATAAGATGGCTTGACGGAGCGGAACCATCTCCAGACAAATTTAACTTTTCCTTCGCCTAGACTAGATGCCAACTAAGTACAACACCTGCTCATGGAACGGTAGCAAATGCGTAGTGCTTTCAGTCGTAATGAACTCCAATGTTCTCAATCCATGTTCTTAAATGATTAAATCCTTCTTAATTTAATTTTTGTTTCCACTGTTTGTTTATAGTCTTACTAACCAGCGACAATGAGCGTTATACGGACTTTATAACATTCACTCATATTTTAATTGAATCCCACAGATAAAAAAAAACTACTTACCTCGATTGCCAGGGTAATGATATCATCGCGTTGTTCATTATCTTTAATCAGTTGTTTAAGGGTCACATACGCCCAAGTCTTTTTTGTTATGTTTGGCAGCATTTCAAACCTGGTCAGATTCGGAAATTTGGGAATTTCCGACAAAGTAAAAAAACCCAGGTCATCGAAGTCTAATTTCTGCGTTTTTATCCACATACCGCTAGGACTTTCTCCCGATATTTGCAACACAATTCCTCCACTGCGGAAAGTATTTTTAATTCGTCCAGCAATTGCTATCTCAGACCCGCTGAAGATAGTATTGAATGTTGTCGGTGTCAGGTATCTCGTATCTATTGTAGTATTCAAATAAGTTACAATGACATTCTTTAGCACAAGTTTTGAGATACTCTCAAACAACTTTATAATCTGACTGCTACTGTCTTTAGCATCGTAGATTTTTCTGCTGAAACCGCCATTTTCAGAGGCTATATTGTTTAGAAACTCAAAATCACAATCATCTCCAAATCCAAGTGTGATTATTATAACGTTTTCTTTATTAGCCTTTTTGATATTTGATCTGATCTCTTCCTTGTTAGTGACGCCGGATGTTGGCTCTCCGTCGGTCAAGAAAAATAAGATATCTACCGAATGGAGCCGTGTATTAAATCTTTCCAAACTCTCGAGCATAGCACTGTTGATATCTGTCCCTAAAAAGAAAAAAAACGAATTAATAAGCTGTAAATATTTTAATTCTGAAGAAGATTTAATAACAATAAGAAGAGAAACAGAAACATCAATCATGATAGCATCACCAGACACAAAGAGCAAAAATAAAAGATAAATTTGAAAAATTGAAAAGATTTTCATTTTAAAGAATGTGCAGTAATAACAAAAAGAGAAACAGAAGCATTTATCATGATAGCATCGCCACACACACACACACACACAAAGCAAAAGTAAAATATACATTTTAGAAATTGAAAAGATTTTCATTTCAAAGAATTGTCAGTAAAAATAAAAAGAGAGACAGAAGCATCTATCATGGTAGCATCACCACACACAAAGATCAAGTGTAAAATATACATTTTAGAAATTTCAAAGATTTTAATTTCAAAGAATGTTCAGTAACAATAAAAAGAAAACATGGACTTGTCTATTCGCTATGGGTAGAACGCCTGCTCATGGAACAGTGTCAAAAAGTGGGTAGAAAAGGGTTAGCGCTTTCAGCCGTACAACGGCCGAAACTTTGTGAATATGGCAATGAGGATGAGGATAACAATCCGAATAAAGTAAATAACGGGTTTTTTGGAGTCTAGTTTGACTGAAGGGAAAGGGAGAATAAAAGAATGGTTGGGGGGGCTTTTGGAGACCAATGGCAACAGTTAGCATCACCAGACACAAAGAGCAAAAATAAAAGAAAAATTTTAAAAATTGATAAGATTTTAATTTCAAAGAATTGTCAGTAATAATAAAAAGAGAAATAGAAGCATCAATAATGGCAGTATTCGGCAAAGAAATAACTGTCGTATTTGCTGAAGTATAAGATGCATAGTGGACAAGTGAATTCGGTTTGATTTATGGCATATGAATCTTTACCAGATTATTAAATAGCGAAATCTATCGTTTCACAAAAAATGGGTAGATAGCCTTAGGTTTGATCTGTACTAAGGCAAAAAAAGGGAGACATAGATTTTGGTCTGCACAGGTTTAATTTGCAAGAGGATCTAGAGTAAGAAGTGTGTATTTATACACGACAATGCCCCTTCTCGTATATCTAAGCTTATCTGTGAATTTTTTGATCATAGAAGATTTACAGGAGGGAAGATAATGGAGTAGTCACCATCAAATCCTGATCTGAATCCGATCGAAAATCTATGGTCAATTGTAAAGAAATTATATGAATGTGGTAAATAATATAACATCAAAGAAATGGAACCAGCTGAAGTAAAAAAAAAAAAATAACGAAATCAATAGATAATAGATTAATGTCTGTTATTGAGAAGAAGGTTCACCGTAAAAGGATATATTTGAACGAAGTAGCTAAGTTGTTTTGGCTACTATAACCAAGTAGAATATGGTAGCAGTAATCAACTGGTACGCGTCGTAGTCGCAGGTAAAAAGTGTAGATCAATGGCGTAGTCCAATGAGCGTCGTTATAGACTTAGCTCTCAGACTAAGGCTCTTGACTCTCCTACACGTCCGTCGGTATTTATGACGGACACCAGCCAATCATATTCAGAAACGAATCTCGAGTGACATTTTATTGACCTGATATATCTGACAAAGGATGGATTTTATCCAATTCAGGCGTGCCTGTGACTAAAAGAAGGCAACAAGGAGGCGGTAGTGTTATGATATAGGCTAGAATTGTCGACCAAACCATTACTGGATCAATCAAAATCGATGAAGGAATTAGACTGAATAATGCTAAATATTGCGATTTTATGAACAAGATTTTCTTTGCATTATACCAAATCTCAGTTTCGCAGTTTCAAATTGAAGTGTGTATTTATACACGACAATGCCCCTTCTCGTATATCTAAGCTTATCTGTGAATTCTTTGATCATAGAAGATTTACAGGAGGGAAGATAATGGAGTAGTCACCATCAAATCCTGATCTGAATCCGATCGAAAATCTATGGTCAATTGTAAAGATGGAATTATATGAAGGTAGAAAACAATATAACATCAAAGCAGACCTATGGGAAGTAATTACAACTACTATGTCGGAAATTGAACCTGCTGAAGCAAAAAATATCAAAATCAATAGATAATAGATTAATGGCTGTTATTGAGAAGGTTCACTATATTAAAATTTAAAGGATTCGAAGACTTATATGTGTTTGTTATTTGTTCTGTTATAATTATTGATCAAATTTTGATGATTTAATTACCTTTTTATTGAAGTAAAATGTAATTATTTGGTTTTGCCTAATAACTTCAGACTTTTTTTTTTTTTTTAGAATACATCAAATAACTTTAATAAAACATATTGATACTACCTCAAATTTTAACTCAGGCTTTGTTTCGATATCTAAATTGATTGTTTAAAATTTGACAATTTATTTTCAAACAAAATTTGAATTACTGAATCTTATATGATTTTCTTAATAACTTCAGACACGGTGGAGTAACATTTCTTATCACCCAGCAATCGTAATTTTGAAGAGAAATAAATTTGCATCATTTTAATAACTGTTTAGTTACGCTATATAGTTTCAAAATGGTTTCATATGAATGTTGCCCTTGCTTGTCACGCAATCCTCTGAATTCTGAATAGAAATGGATTTACCGTAATTCCCCCATGTATGATACGCATCTTTTCTAAAAAAAAAAAATAAGGGATGCGTATTATGCACAGATACAAAAAAAATCTTTAAAAATTGCCGTAAAATAAAATAAGAATTATCAGAAAACTAAATTAGAATAATATTATTCTATGTTCAAAACTGTTTTTTTTTATAAGAGTAGGAAACGCTGGCCGTAATGAAATTGGAGAGGTACAATTTATAGGCTTTGATTACCAAACAAGGGGTGCGTATTATGTGCGAGTAGGAGCATTATCCTACACTTTCAGCACAATTTTAGGTGTGTGTATTATACATGGGGAATTACGGTACTTAAGTTGATATTATAAATTACTATTGTAAGTTTCTAGTTATAACACATATAGGTTCTAGTTATTAGATAGATAGATAGATAGATGATGTTCTAATGAGCTCTGTTTTGGTTATATATATATATATATATATATATATATATATATATATATAAATAAAACAGACCACTTTAACTCTCTAGATTTCATCCTCCTTAGGTTTACCCATTATTACATGGAACCTTAAAGTGGTCTGTTTTTATTTAAATTATTTGCTCTGAATTTACATTGAGCTCTCTGGATTTTATTCTTAGGTTTACCCATTCGAATTACCTACTTTTTCATAAAACTATATATATATATATATATATATATATATATATATATATATATATATATATATATATATATATAACAGACTGACTTAGATAGATAGATAGATAGATAGATAGATAGATGAATAGATGAATAGAATTAGAGATAGATATAGATAGACAGATATATATATATATATAGATAGATAGATATATAGATATAGATATAGATAGATATAGATAGAAATAGATGAAATAGAGATAGATAAAAATTGACAGATAAAAATAGATAGACAGAAATAGAGATAGATATAGATAGATATAGATAGACAGATATGTATATATATAGATATATAGATAGATATGTATATAGATAGAGATAGATATAGATATAGATAGAAACAGAAACAGA